AGATCTATAATCCAGTAGGAGAGATCGTCCACAGTAAGGAAACAAAAGACCAAGACAGATCTTCTAAGATAAGACGGAGAAAGAACTAAAGCGACACAACAAACAAACAACTCTCGTACACCAGATTTCCAGTGACTCCCTCTAACGTCTTAGAGGTCAGTTAAGACTGCGCCCAGTCCTCCGACCTCCACCAGGTTGACCGGTCCCAGGCTAACAGAAACATAAGGAGGTATTACCCACCTTATAAACGTGTAGATGAATTTTTGAGGGTCAGGTATCATCTCCTATCAGAGCCTCACAGAGATTCTTCCAGGGCCCTGGAATATCTCAGGGGGTGTCTCCCCTGGAGCTCTCTCCAGATCCCAACAGTATGGGTGAGGGAGGCTGCCTGCCTGTTGAGGTGTCCTACCCTAGTGTTATGAGGACCCTCAGGTATCTTGCTGGGGCCTCCAAACGTTCTATCTAGAGCAGCAAGTTATACAGATGGACACCACATTCAGTAGGCCAAATTGAGGAGTCTTTATTAAAAAGCCGGCAGCTGTGAGGGGGCTCATGCACACCAAAATCTCACAGCCCCGAATGAGCTCAGGGATAAACTTATAAAGGCATAAACCACATCCTGTTGCCAGTTTCTAAAAATCACCAAGCGCAGTACAGAAGCAAAAATGCTGGATTAAGCAGATATTTATGGTAGGGGTACATTTCCTGAAATTGTTATGTCAGGTGTTCTGTGGTATTTTTGTTAAGGTTGCAATAATGGGTATAGTAACATGTCTGTGTTCTGAAATGCCCACTTTTTATAAAAAATGGTGTGACTTAATACTAAGTCTGTTTCCTAGGTGTCTCAGGTGTATGGGGCCAGATAGTTACACTTGTGATGAGTTTTTGAATCCCTATGTTCTACACATGAAACTAATGTAACACTGTACATCAACTATACTTCAATAAAAAGAAAGTATAACAAGTTAAAAAGAAGGAAAGGAAAACATCGGTTATTTAACCAGTGAAATGGGCTTATCTAGGAATAGCAGAGAATTGCAATTCACAACAAAGAAGTTGGGGCAAAACCATAGGCAAGACTGTAGAACAAAGCAGAGGACTGCTCTTTTACAGAGGAGAGGTGGGCTTGGGGCTATTATTATAGCCCCAAGGATTATTATAAACAAAAAGTCCATCAGAATAAACTAGGACTTAAAAGTATAGTGACTTTTCTTTTTTTTCCTTTTTGATTTTAACATTTTTATTATATTATGTTAATCACCATATAGTATCCCATTAGTTTTTGATGTAGTATTCCGTGATTCATTGTTTATGTATAACACCCAGTGCTCACCGCCATATGTGCCCTCTTAATACCCATCACCTGAGTTGGAACTGTCAATGGTTGGCTGGGCTATTGCCAAGGAGGGAGGAGAGCATCTTCCTTCATCCTGCTATGGTAGTAAAACATCCTCTTCTTCCTGTTGGGAACAGAAGGTAGGTCTCTTGTTGTTGGGTCTGCACAGGACTCCAAGGAGTGGTAGGCAAGAGAGGTTTCACTCTCTCTCTCTCTTTCTTTCTTTTTAATTATATTCAATTAGCCAATATATAGTATACATTATTAGTTTTTGATGTAGTGTTCAGCGATTCATTAGTTGCATTTAACACCCAGTGCTTACCACCACAGATGCCCTCCTTAATACCCATCACCCAGTTACCCCATCTTCTATAACCCTCAGTTTGTTTTCCAGATTCCAAAGTCTCCCATGGTTTGTCTCTCGTTCTGATTTTTTCCCACTCAGTTTTCCCTCCCTTCGCCTGTGGTCCTCTGCACTATTAATTTTCCAAATATTGAATAACCTGTGGACTAAAATAAGGACTAGAATAAAGCAGATGCTCACCAGGGCCATGAGTGAGTGAGGCCTGCAGAGATCTGACACACCCCATGATCCACCAGGCACTTGTGCATTCCATATGAAACTCAGTCCGGCATGCAGAGTCCACACAGTGCTGATAGTCTACATTTCCACAGTCTGCAGTTGCGCATGACACAGATGCAGGGACCTGTGTCCATGCTCTTTCTCAAGACTGGAAGATTTATTGAAGAAAACACTGAAGAAAAGTCCTGTGGATAGTGCTTTGTGCTCCAGCCCTCTGAGGTCCTGTCTCAACATATGATATTAAATTATGCTTGTCCAAATGCTGGGTCACCTCTCCCTGGTCCTTCCACTCTTTCTAAATTAATCTTGACAACTCTAAGGTGTCTGGACCATCAGCCTCCCTCCTGTGAGAACCCCATGTCTGTCTCCTCTCAATGCTGAAGTTCTCTCTCCAGAGCAGCAAATGAATCTCAACCAGAATTCAGCTCAGCCTGAGGGGCCTCCATTGCTCTGCTGATTTGTCTTTTTAAGTTTCGTGGCCCAAGATCACCAGGAAGATACAAGATTGGTTAGGTGCTGAATATATGCTTCTTACAATGATTTCATGTCAGTGGCAGAGTCTGGGCTATTTCTCTCTCTTTCTGGTTGTACAGCCGCACCCCTGCCCTTAACAGTAGTAGTAGCAGTAATCTGGATTTGTAGTACTGATCCAGGGGACTCCTGGATGGCTCTGTCAGTTAAGAGTTCAACTCTTGATCTCAGCTCAGGTCTTGATCCCAGAGTCTTGAGTTCAAGTCCTGTGTTGGGCTCTACACTGGGTGGAGCCTACCCTTAAAAAAGAAAAAAAAAAAAAACTACTACTGATCTGTATTTTGGGTCAAGTCAGCAATTAGAAAGCCACACTTTCTAATGACCCGAGACTCCTATCTTCCCCAACGCGGACTTAATCTGTGTGGACCCTCTACCACCAGCAGTCACTACCTCCCTAAGCCCTTTATACGGCTTTCCTTACTGAAGAGCACTCTCCCCAACCAATCCCAGCTTTTAAAAACCTCATTGTCTTGATACCATGTCTCTTGGAATATTTTGATGGCAAAGTCTAAATTCTGAGTAAAGCATCTTGCCAGATTTCTCCCTCAGATGAGGTCTCCAGGCCAGATAGAGTCCTGACTGTAGGACAGCCTGCTTTAAAAAGCAAGATTCAGGGGCGCCTGGGTGGCTCAGTGGGTTAAGCCTCTGCCTTCAGCTCAGGTCATGATCTCAGGGTCTTGGGATCTGAGCCTTGCACTGGGCTCTCTGCTCAGCAGGGAGCCTGCTTCCCCCACCCCTGCCTGCCTCTCTGCCTACTTGTGATCTCTGTCAAATAAATAAAATCTTAAAAAAAAAATAAAAAGCAAGATGCATTGTTGACTTCTGCTCTTCTATAATTCTATAATCATCACTCTCCTGCATGAGGCCATTAATAACCAGGGCACACCAATGCATGATTTTCATATTAGTCCATAGGTAAATCTCACCATGTCATTACAGAGTATTGTCTCTATTTTGTGACCTAGGAGTCCAACACCAAGGTCACGTGATGCTTTTTTTTTTTTTTTTTTTAATCTTCCTCCCAGAGAACCTGTCCTTTTTGTAAACTTTTCCTCAAATCCTAGAACTGCTGGTTTCCCATTCTGGAAATTAGTCCCTGTAACTTGGGCCTATGTGAGGGATGCTAGGGCAAGGTGCATGTCAGGAAAAAATGAGGTATTTTCCTGAACTCCCTTTTTGGTACATTCCATCAATTACACAGATTGTTTTCTGCAGAAAAGGCAAAATGTGTTTCCCAAACTGAAGAGCGCATTTCTGGTTCTTTGAGTGTAGGATAGGAAGCTGGAAGGCAGAAGAGGGTAACGGCTATAGGAAGAGATTGGAGAGCCAGTTGTGTGTGGCAAAAGAGGAAGGTGTTGATACCCAGCCAGTACAGTGTCCCATGTGCAGACACAGGTGTGCAGTTGTCCCTGCGCACACATGACTAGCATTGAATGAGCAGCAGTGGAAGAGCAAGCAGGGCTGACTTGCTTAAGCTCAAGGAAATGTGCAGATGGAGCCGTGCCCTGGGCCTTGTGTGGTCTTCTCTCCAGGTATATCTCTGGGAGGCCATGTAGTGAGGGAGGCGAGGCAGCCTAGGGCCAGGATGCAGGGGTGTGGGGACAGGGAGCTCTCTTGTTCATTGGACAGCTAGCTTCCCATGGACCATGGGGTCTGACCCCACAATGTGACATCATCTCTTCATTTGGATGATTGGTCTCACAGGGTGTCCCCTCCACACCCCAGTTCCCAAGTCTGACATTTACCTGCTTCCAACCAAATGTTCCCCAGGACATAGTAAGGGTTTGCTTATTCATTCTTAGAACCCAAATCTACCGCATCTTCCTTGCTCAGAGTTGGCTTACTACCTTTGATAGGGAGGAAGGTGGATTTTCTGGAAAGTCAAAATCACATTGACGTGACCTAGTCCCTGCAAAAAGAGGTCATATTTTTAATTTGGGAAACAAATACTAAACCAATGTCATGTATCTATATGATTTTACCATTCCACTAAAAGAAATTTAGATATTTTTACTGACCACAACTAATAGAATTCGAGAGAGAACTGGACCTGGTGGGAAGATAGGATGGGCTGGTAAGGCCCAGTCCAGCTCATCTGCTGGGTGTACATCCCCTCTAGTACTGGGGACCTGACTTTTACACAGTAAAGCCCTACCTTGGTACAGCCAAAGGCCAGGATGGAGACTTTGGATCCATTGGGGAGGAGCGCTCAAGTCCAGAGTCTTAGCAGAGTTAAAAAAGCATTTTTCCTGCAGTGGTGCTATTGACCCCCTAGTATGTTCCAGGCCCTGAGGATGCACTTTGTATGTGTTGACTGCATAAACAGCCATAGAAATTAAATGAGGAGGTAACAAGTTTACCAGAGATAGGAACCAAATGGAGGAATGATAAATGGTGCTGTGAATTCCTGGGGCCGAACCTCACCCAGCTTAGTGTCTGAGCATCATGGATGCTATGCTATGCCTTCTTGTTTAATCAGGAACTGCAGTTTCCTGAGGTTTAAACTGGAGATATGCTTCATGGAGCACAGAGGACACCAGATGGTTGACACTGAGGTTCTCTTTATTTCTGACCATGTCTTTACAACCATGCAGGCAGGGGTAACTCCCACATCTATTGCCCAAACCCGAATCTCCCTCTAGAAATTCAGATTCATATTTCTAATGCTAGAAGATGCATCTCTCCAAAGATCCTATTAACTCCCAAGTCAACATCCCCCCCCACCTGCTGAATCACCTTTCCTTTTCCTGCTCACATGGGGCAGATTTTCTGAAACTGTGGCTTCCATGCTCCTTTAAGATACACTTACCCTGGGCTTCTGTGCCCAGAATAAAGCCTATGATATGTGTATATCCAGCTAGGCAGGCATATAACAGGGGCACAGAATGGGCTCTGGGTCATAGAAGGTCCTGTCACCACAGTGAGGACAGGGGTTGGCACTAAACCAGACCATGCCTGGCCGCCCCAACTCCTGCAGCATTTGCTTCAACCTGGCGTGCAGCTGGGCAAGTCTGCCCAGGTGAAGGGTGCCACGGACATCCTCGTAACTCTCCAAGGGGGCTGGATACAGCACATGACTCAGCTTGCTCAGCCCGATGGTGTGGCGCAGCAGGTTCTCTAGGACGGCCATGGAGATGGGGTTTCCACAGAAGCTGAAGGTTGTGAGCTGGGAGCAGCGGCCCAGAGCAGGTAGGATGACAGTGAACTGGGAGTCCATGATCCCACACTCATCTAAGTCCAGGTCCTGGAGGGTGGCGGAGGCTCTCTCTATCAGAACTTGGAGAGGTGCAGGACTCATATTGGTCAGGTTGACCCCACTGAGACCCAGGTCCTTAAGCTGACTGACGTTCAGGTGCTGCGACAGATGTGTCAAGTCAGATTCTGAAAGCAGGCAATTCGTTATTGACAGGGTCTCTAGGGGGGTCTTCAGGCAGCTGGGGAGAGACAAAGCAGTTAGTTCTGGGGGCATGGAGGTAGTGGGCAGAGGGACATGGGGATGACTCAGGCCTCAAGGAAAGGTAGGCCCATTACACCCAGACCCAGGGCTTTAACAGATGACGGTCAAGCCCCAGGACGCCACCTGGGGAAAAAAGGACTCAAGTCCATCCAAGTTTCAGGGGAGTCCCTTCTCCATTACTCATTTTCTGGGTGATTTGGTCAAGTAAAGGAAATCTCAAGTGCCCCCTATGCTGTCAAATGCAGCATAGCATGTCCCTCAGAGGTGCTGTATCAATTAATCCAACAATGTGAGGCACTTGGAGGGGAGCCTGGCCCCATGTCTCCATTAAGGAAAGGAATTGGTACTGGGAAACAGGACTAGAAATGCTTTCAACTCGGGCTTCCTTCTGGCTGCTTCTATGACCCCAGTCTTTGGTACCTGTTTTTTTTTTTTTTTTAAGATTTTTTTTATTTATTTATTTGTCAGAGAGAGAGAGAGAGGGAGAGAGAGCAAGCACAGGCAGATAGAATGGCAGGCAGAGGCAGAGGGAGAAGCAGGCTCCCTGATGAGCAAGGAGCCCGATGTGGGACTCGATCCCAGGACACTGGGATCATGACCTGAGCCGAAGGCAGCTGCTTAACCAACTGAGCCACCCAGGCGTCCCTTGGTACCTGTTTCTGATGAGGCTAATGGGAGATGTGCACAAAGAGCTAAACTGGGCAAGGCCTGGCAACATGCCGCCTGCAGGGCCTCACATAGATCACTGTATCATCCACGTACCAGCTATCACCTTCCGCAAGTCTTCACTCCTGCTCCCTTCCCCTCACCCCCCGCCCCCCAGAATCAGGCATTCCCCTCTATTGCCTTATGTGGAACCCAGAGCAACCCTTTACAGAGAGGGAATTGGAGGCAGGTTTGGAGGGATAGACTCAGGTTGACAAAGCTGCCAAGCGCAGAACTTATGATCTGAAACTTTATGTCAGATATGCCTTCCCTTCATCAACACTCTCAAGTTTAGTTATTTTTGATCATCATAATGTAGACATCATTTTCTCAGAAAGAATTCCCAAAGATGTCCTCACCGCCACAGAGCCCCCCTTATACAGATTCCTAACTAGGAGCCCCTTTGGATAGTATTTATCCTAGCTCATACCTCCCACCTCTATCTGGGAGGTTATCTGACAACATGCATGGAGACAGAGCAGGGACAGTGTGTGGACCTTCTAGAAACTCATACTGCATCTGGAACTGTCGATGGCAGATGCCCATTATCATTTACTGAAATAAAGAAGGGCTTATGCTGGACTGCCAAGAAACCTCACAATCCCTCACCTGAGCACCTGGTCCAGACGGTCTTCCAGGAAGGAGATAGAGTCCAAATAGAGCTCCTCAAGGTGGTGCAGCCTGAGGAACTGAGCAGTGAATTGGTTGACACAGTGCTCCTCCTTTGCCGGGGTGGTGTGGGAAGACATGTGGATGTGCGAGAGGAGGAGCCTGCGCAAACTGCCCATCTGACCCAGATGAGGAGCAAACTTCCCCAGTGTGGACAGTTTCCAGGTGCAATTCACTTCCAAATCCTGGATCGAGTCCAGCTGTACAATTTTCAGGATCTTCTTGATGTTCTGTATGGGCATTGCGAAAATCTTCAGCTTCTTACAGCACAGGTGCAGCAGACCCTTCCTCTGCTGGACTTTCTGGATGAGGTAGGCGAGGGACTCATCAGGGGTACCTTCCTTGAGGCAAAGGTCTATCAGCACCTCCACAGGAGCCAAGGGTGGCTTGGGCCCTGGCTTGCAACCATCCACTTTTAGCTTCTTCTTCATGGGCTGGGCCACCTCTGGCTCCAACAGGGAATACATACTGGCCCTCGTCCCAGACCACACGGTCCAGAAGTCCTGATGAGCATTCTTCCGTAAATCTAGTACCTGCAGTTTCCACCTCCTGCACGGAAGATAGGAGACAGACCAAGATGCTTTCAAATCAATGGGGAATAAGACTTGAGTCTCAGAATTGAGGCAAGGCCCAGATGCCTGACCTGCACTTTTATTCCACACCCTTGGATGTCAGTGGCTCCTTGGGCTACTGGGATCCTTCCTTCTTGGTCCCCACTTGCAGTACCTCTAAGTGCTACCAGGAGAAGATGGACAACTTGTTCCTTAGGTCACCTCTGCATCTCAATCAGCCTTTCATGTCTATAGCCTGTTCCTAGAGTGACCCCAGAGATAGCCCCAAGGCTTCTCTGAGCTTCCTCACAAAAGCCTCTGGCCCACCCTGTGGCTTTGCACTTTCCCATGAACCCATCTCTATCTTGCTTGGGACCCCAGGGCCCTCCCAGGCTATGGGATCACCCTCACCTGGGGCGAACCTCCTGGGCAAGCAGGACATCAAGGCCATCGAGTGCAGCTTGGAAGGTCTCCTGGTGGGGCTGCTGCTCCTTCATCAAGGCCCCCAAAGGGAGGCAGGCAAAAGGCCAGGCCTGCACCATCACCTTCAGGATCTCGCTGTACCTCCCAGCAAAGGCCGCCGTGAACAGTGGTGGGAAGAGCTCCATAGGCAGCACTTCCAGAGCGGCAATGGCTGAGGCCTGGTCCCTCAGCAGGCTCTGTCCTGCCAGGTCCAGAAGTCTGGGTGGGGCTGGCATGCTCATCCTAATAAATCTGCTCCGAAAAGAATCCTGGCGAAATATTCAGGGAACAAGGCTGAGTGCTAGCAACCCCATTATCCCTCCATCCTTGAGAGAAACCAACTCAAGGCCAAAGTCACTCTCTGGCAATAGTTGGGAGTCCTCCATTTACCCCAATTCTGTTCTTGGCTAGGTGGCCACAAAGCCACAGCTTTGCCCCTGCTGGCTCTAGATGTTCATCTTTCCAGGCCTCGATGGGGGAGCAAGATCACCACAGGTGCCATACCATATCCAGCTACTGCAACATTTAATTCTAGTCCCACTGTAGAGTTAGTACTGAGGAACCTGAAAACCGACCCCATCCCTTTTAGGGAAAAGTTGCTGATTATCCTGAGTACTGAACATATACAGAAATAAGAAACTATCACATGGCCCAAAATGAGGCCCTTCTCAGCTCTAATAAATAACCCAGACATGAAAGATTAAGGAACATCTGGACAAGGAGTACCATAAATTTTCAACTGTAAAAGTAGCATAATAGTACTCTACAGCATATGGAAGTTGGGGATGAAAAAAATATATACTATTTCAAGACAATTTTATTATATGTCTTTCCTACAAATATGAGAATTACTAAGAGAATACAGAGCTCACATTCAGAACAAAGCCTCCACTTTTAAAATTATTCCATAAAATATTTTTTCTCCTGTGGGATATATTTAAGCTTTTAGTTTCTTATTTTTCTAAAAAAGCTTAACTTGTAAAACCACAAAACAATGAACTATATGAACTATAATTACTGAACACAAACTAAATACTTAAAATGTCATAAAAAATTCCAACTAATCAGAGGTCTTTCATTTCCCCCCAAAATCTCTCTGGTTAAGAAATATCATAAATGTCTATAAAATGGCATACACCAAAGCAGAAATCAAAATTTCTGAGATTAAGGCAAAACTGCATTTTGAGGCAAAAGCAAAGCCTGCTCATTCATACTATGTGGCTGAGGGCAGTACGATGGCAGCATCCCAAGCTTAGGGCTCCTGCCTCACCAGAAATGTATATGGTGCAGGGAGGAATCTGCTCAGACTTCAGGGTCTCACCTCTGGCTCCTCAGAAGCTATGTTATCCTTTCTGGCTACACCTCCCTTTTTCAGATCCTAGCTCAAATTTTCAACTGAAAGCACGATGTTATTATCACTGGATCTCCATCTAGTTAATCCAGATTGAGTTTACCTTCTCCATACAACTGACTGAATAATATGCCCCATTCATGATAGAAAAAGAAAATAAAACCAACCTGGAGGTATACCTGGGGGAGTTTTGGCCACATCAGTATAATGCAAATGTTCAAGTTAAGACAGCTTTATGCAGACAGTGGTGTTAACCCAAAAGAAAAAGAAATAAAATAAAATAAAATTCCAAAATATCAAGTAGTCACTTACACTTTGTTACCTAAAACTGCAAAACATGTGTGCATTCATAGAAGAACAGATGTACAATTAAGGGGTGGCTGGTCTTCCAGATTTTGAGGATCAAGACTTCCCTGAAGGAAGTCAGGTCAAAATTATGAGAAGTTGGCCAGGAAAAGGGAGGGGGCAAGGTTGTTTGTAATGGGACCATGGGAAATAACCAAGACTAGGAAAAATACATTTAATTTTGTTTGAGGATCTCAGACTTTCATGGCTACTTTAAACCCAAGAGCAGGGAGGCTATCCACTCTTCTTCCTAGAAGATTTCCTCCTAGAAGGCTGAGATCAGCTCAGCAAAATGGATGGAGAAGATTCAACATAGGAATCTGGGCTACAGAGAGGTCAGAACCCTACTGGCAACCAAACCCACGACTCGACTAGTCAAATTCTAACAGCCACTGAGGGGTTAGAGCCATGAGCTCTTTGGGCTCTTAAAGGCAGGGAGAGAAATAAGCATGAGCTAAATGCATGTCTCCTTGTCATCAAGATGCTGCCACCAGAGGACTTCCTCTTTAGGCTCAAGTGTCCTCTTCCACATCCTGACCCTTCAAAGGCAGAGCCAGTCTGGGCATTTCCCAGGGGCCTTGGCCCCAAATGTGATCTCCAAAGGCCCCTTCTGAAGTATATATTGACAACTGTCATTTTCTCATTCCTAGGAAACAACTAATATAAATACAGCTTCAAAAAGTCCCTTCTGGTCCCATCCCTATCCAGCTGGATGTCCCTATCCAGCTTTTTTATTATTCTCATTCTTCTGAGACAGTGCCACTAGGAACAGGAATAAAACTTTTCCTTCTCTCTGTATTAAGCTCAGTACCCAAATACCAACACTTTTTCCTCACAGAATTTGAAGCTATATTTGACATTTAAGGATCTGCCAAATTTAGGGATGATTCCCATGCTGGGCTGGATCACATTGATGGTTCTGACATTTTAGAACACAGAGAACCTCTCCACACAAAGAATTCTCCAGGCTATTCTTTAACCCTTGCATTATGATGCCCAAACAATTCTTCTATACCACTGGTGAGGAGATTGGGATTCATTCTCTGAAGGATGCTATCCACTTAGTATCATCATGGAGACTGTTTTCTCCAAATTTCTGCCACCCATATCAGCAGGCTTTGTGTCAAATAAGGTTAAACTAGAATGTGCTCTATGGGCATTTTAGCCCCCAGACAATCACCATTATCAATCAGCTGCAAGAGACTGAGATTAGTAACGAGATAATCGTAAATGTCCCTGATGACTAAGCAGTAACTGAGCACAGAAACGGTGCTCTGGAACTTTTCATCCAAACTTCTCAACCTTTGCAGGAAATTTAAAGTTCACTGTTAATTTTATTTTTAGCCCAGTGAATCGGGACCCCACTCCCCAGAGGGAGTAATTGATAGACACCTTCAGGCAAGGGGTTTGTCCTGGTGAGGATCTGCCTCACCAAGTGGATGGACAATCTCATTGTTAGAGACACCTGACTGACAAACTTCAACTGGACCTCAGCGAAACAGGACAACTGCCTAAGTCCAAGCTTGGGAACGGTCTGTGGGAACCCAGGGTCTAGGAGATCCAAGGAGGCAGAAGTGACCACTGTCTTCAGATCTAAAAATGTTTAGTATGAGCCAAACATCCTTCCCTTGTGAGGTAAGTCCTACTCCTCCATCCACCTCCATGCAGAGCCTTTGGATCAGGGGACACGCTGTGGGGTTGGAAGCAGGAGCACTGGGAACACATCTATATGAAGGGCTGTCCTTCCCGCACAAGATCAGGACTGGCTCAGGACAACTCTCACAGCCAAGGTATGAATTTGAAGAATGTTTCAATTGCATCCTGGTCACCTTTTCTCATGGTCTTCATTTGCTACCTAGGCCAGAGCATCCCCTGAGCTCGTTAGAGTGGGTGGCCTGAAACCACCTTTTTCATTCACAGAATTCCAACTGGGATCCCAGAGCATCATCTACCTTACTGGGGCCTTTAGAATGTTTCTATACATCCGCCCTGTGCCACCTGGACAGCACTCTGTGTCCCTGGAATGTCAGCCCACCTCTCTTGGAGACTGGGGTGTGGCCATGCTGGGAATACCTTCCCATTGTATCAACCAAAATCAAGGAATTTTTCCCAGTTCTACTGAGCATGATAATCAGAGAACATGACAAGCCACAAGGTGCAGAAAGAAAATAAGCCCATCTGTTTTTCTAGATCTAAGGGGCTCCAGGAATGCTGGAAGAAGACCCTTCCTGAGTTCCAGAGAAAAGACCTCAACTCTGCTGGTCTGGAGGGTCAGCAGGCTAATAAGAAGCTAGGAGCCCAGTCCTGATGCAGCAGCCCACCTCAGGATCCCTTGAGGCAGCCCTTGGACAGACAAGATTTCATGTGGTATCCAATTCATCTCTGAAATTTCCCTCTGGTGTCACATCTCTCCTTACCCTGAAATATTTTGCCCTCTGTGCCTTTTTAAAAACTGAAGGTCTCTCTTGGACCTCCCTGCGCCTTCCTGTATTCAACAAGATATGGTTTCACTTCAGATCCAGTAACATCTAGACCTAAACAAGAGATTGTCCCTCTTTCCTCCCCACCAGGGAGGACCTTCCTGATCTCCTGATCACTCTAGCTCTAGCCAGTTATTCCTGGGGAAGTGCTTCTGGAGGCATGATGGGGGAAGGGGAAGCTGAGGACTCACTCTAATCTGGGAAGCAGGAGGAGGAACTGAACTGGGAATGGCCCAGAACATCCAATGTGGGGCCCAGCATGAAGGAGGAGGAAATGTCAGCACAGCAGGAGGCCCGGTCCTCTGGCTCCCACAGAGCTGTGTCCCTTAAAGGGTGGAGACTTGTGTCTGAGACCACCCAGGGGCACTGGAGGCCTGAGTGAGGTGCCAGTAGCTGTGTGTGTGTATGTGTCCCTTTAGCTCAAGGACACAGAATCAGTCCAATGGAGAGTCTGGGGAGAAGGAAAGAAAGTGGCAAGCACTAATCCTGGAGGCAAAGGTGACAGAGAGATTCAAAGAAGAGAGGGCTCGAGCCTCAGCATTCAGCTCTTGGGATTTTGCTCTTCAGCCTCCTTACTTTTCACAGCCTCGTCAGACTGAGAACTGTGCTTCTGAAAACAGAAAGAGAGAAAGGGGTCTGGTATTGTGTCCCTGTCATCCAAAGGGTCCTCAAACCTTTAACTCTAAGCCATAAGAAGGCCATGGTGGCTCTGAGCAAAACCAGATACAACAGGTTATCAGGCACTTTCCACTGGGGTTTGTTCCACTAGAGTGAGAGCAATGATCCTCAGGGTTCCAGGAACACAGACCTTACACTTGGTGGGAAAAATCCCCTATGCGCTAAGATGAGGGCTGACAGGAGGCACTGGGGCAGGGTGGACATGTTCACAGGAATGTCTCCAGACCAGCTAACCCCTCCTCCCCATATCCAGATACACTTTCTATTCTTAATCCTTGATTTACTCAAAAACATTTACTGAATGCCATAGACAATGCATTCTATTGAGCAAACAAATGAAAAAGCAGCAAGCTGAAAAACAAATCAATCAGAGGTTGACTGCTTTGCACGGTAGTGCTGGGCCATAAAAATGACAGTGCAAGATGAAACTACATAAAGCCTTCTTAAGAATCCACAAAGTTCTGGGGCGCCTGGGTGGCTCAGTGGGTTAAAGCCTCTGCCTTCGGCTCAGGTCACGATCTCAGAGTCCTGGGATCGAGCCCCACATCGGGCTCTCTGCTCAGTGGGGGGCCTGCTTCCTCCTCTCTCTCTGCCTGCCTCTCTGCCTACTTGTGATCTCTGTCTGTTAAATAAAAAAAAAAAAAAAAGAACCCACAAAGTTCTGTCTCTTGACCTACTTGTGATCTCTGTCAAATAAATAAAATCTTAAAAAATAAAAAGAATCCACAGTTATGGTTTTTCAGTGGCCATTCAAAAACTGTTTTTTTGCCAACCATTAAGAATTCTCTTTCTATTCATTATAAATATGTTGAGAAACTAATAAAATAGCAAAACTACTATTAACTTAGTATGTTGATTTTAAACACTGAAAATTAAACCACTTCTCTGCAAAAAAATGCATCAAGAGTAATTTTTAACATTGCTTATGGTTCTTCTTATATAACTTTTGGTACAGAGTGAGCACCTTTCCTATGCCCTGGAGAACTGTCACGTTGCTTTCTAAGTTTGGATAGACTTCCAATATTTATTCCTTTATGTTTCCAATGTCATGACATATTTTTGAGAGAGTTCCTTTAGTGTGAAGACTTCTGCCAGAATCACTTCCTCTGAGACATCTTCATCCTTTTGTCACAGTCATACTCTCCCTTCACACTTCTCTGGGAACTGGAGAATGTTAGTTCGAAGCTGGATTTAGAATCACAATGATGAATAAAAAGAGTTGAAGTTATCAAAGCAGTTCATTTCTCTAGCCTCTGGTTTCTCTCTTAAAACATGAAATATCACTAACAGGGGGCTAAGACTGATTCTTCCTTTCCATATACATCAGCTGAGACTCAAGAGGGTGATATACTTGCACCCATGTCACAGAGAAGGCCATGGGAGGGGGGCACAGGAATGAGGCCCCTGGCTGCTGGTCCAGGGCTTTTTACGGCTGTCACTTATGCCAGCCTAATGGGAATGTGCCTAGAGAAACAACCTGAAAATGGGAACATTCCACCCTCTATGTGTGTCAGCAATGGACAAGGTTAGAGAACATGTCTCTACTCAGACATCACCCACCACAGTCCAGGGAGTCAGCAGGTCTTTACTCTGCTGAGAGCCATGGGCCCTGCCAGGCATCCAGAAGGATGGGTTGGGGAGGGGTGCCATATTCCCAGGAAGAAATCAGAAAGGCCTGAGGTCTTGAAGCACCTCAGCTTACCAGCTCTGTCTCCCCAGTGAAGCAGGCTCAGGACAGTTCCTGGGAGGACACATCTCCCTACCCCGCATATCCCTGGCTATATCAAGTAAGAAAATTTGCGGCTGGAGTGTCACTCACAGGATGTGAGGCACACAGATGCACATGTGGGCCTCCCCCTCATGTGGGACAATGGATAAGAAGGGAGGCCAGAGAAGCAGAGGGGCCACAGGAGGCAGAGCTCTGGGGCATCTCTACCATGGCCTGGTCATGCTCTGATCATCCTCTTTGCTCTCTGCACAGGTGAGGGGCACTACGGAGGGGAACTTCAGGCAGCCCAGAGTTGACCCTTTCCTCCCTTTGCCCCAAACTCCTCTGAAGTCATGGCTTTCATGTTGACCTCTCCTCTTTGTCCTCTTCCTCTTAAAGTCCAGGTCCCAGTCTGTTCTGACACAGACACTCTCAGATTCTGTGGCTATGGGACAGAAGGTCATCATTTCCTGCTCTGGAGGCAGCAGTAATTCTGGAGTTTATAACTAGGTGTTCTGGTATCACGAACACTCATGTGCTGCCTGACATTCCCAATGCACGAGGTTGCCCAGGGCCTCCATCCATTCTCCACCTCCATGTCAGGCCACATGGCCTCCCTGACTGCTTTGGGCTTTAGATGGAGGACTAGCTGGGCACTATTATTGTTCTCTTTTAAGAAGAAGGAGTTTTCTTTCAAGGGACCTCTTACCCTCAGGGGTCCAAGTCCACATGGAAGTGACCAAAACTCTGCCCCTGCTTGACACCAAATAGGAGTTAAGTGTCTGGTGTCTGTAGCTAGTCTTACTCCTTCACTCCAAGCAGAGGTTCTAAACATAACTATGGCTTTGAGAATGGGGTCCCCAACACACTAGAGCTAGCTCCTTCTTATAAGAAAGCAACAGGACTGGGGCACCTGGGTGGCTCAATCGGTTAAGCATCTACCTTTGGCATTAGGTGGTGATCTCAGGGTCCTGGGTTTGATTTCCCCATAGGACTCCCTGCTCAGTAGGGAGTTTGCTTCTCCTTATTCCCCCTTGTGTGCATGCTCTCTCTCTCTCAAATAAATAAAATCTTTAAAAAAAAAAAAACAAAAAACAGCAGGACAAATGCTCCACTGGGGAAATGACTGGGAAGTACACAGGTTACTCCTGCATCTTCCCTCTTGAGCATCCTCAGGACGCAGATTCCATCCAGCTCCTCGATGACAAGAAGAAAGGGAACAAAAGGGTTTCTTTACACATCTGAGAGACAGTTCGGGGACCAGCTTACCTTAAGATGTCTTCCGTCCACTCTGGTCCAGCTCAGACTGGCCTCCGGTCCTCCAGTACTTGGTTTCCCTGGTCTCCTATCCTCTCAGTCACCTCCGTCTACCCAAGTCTGAGAGCAAGAACCAAAATGCTCCAGAAACAAAGAGGCTGAGTGTTAACATGTATATTTAGCAAGCCACGGGCTCCTATGAAAATCTCTGCGAATACTGCTGAGGAAATGGAAAACCGGAGACGTGACCCTGCCCGTTCAGTGGGCATCTCCTCTAATCTCCAAATCTGACCAACAATTTCCCATGGGCTGAACGAGAGAACAACTGGAATGACAGACCCTGTGCTCTGTCAAAAGCGACCCCTCCCTCGAGGACACGGCCCACGTTCCATCCCTTCTGCCCCCCCCCCAAACCCCGGCACCTCCTTAGGGGCCAGATTCCTAGAGCAGGCACCCCATTTTAACTGCACACCCGTCCAACTAGGGAAAGCAAACAATGAACGCAGACGTCTGAGTTCGATGAATTGTTATGTCTGCAACTCATACGCGCGGTCAGTCCTAAGGAGCAGGTAGCCGAGGCTGCCCAGAGCCAGAAGCAGCACATTGTTTTCACTCCGACCTCTGTTGTGAAAACTCACTTTTCAGATGGAAAAAAGAAGTGGGAGTTGGGGGGAGGGCAGTTTACCAGCGATTAGTCCAAGGTCACTCCACAAGAAAGAGGAGGATCCAAGGTTTGAACTTACGTTTTCTCCAGACCGCGCACCCGCCACGTGGTCTCCCCTTCACGGAGCCTGGAGGGAAAGGAAGGCCGCTAGCTCCGCAAGCCGCCCTACCCTCGCCCGCCGGAAACAGCCTTATCCGACCAATCCTGGTTTCTCTTTTCTTGAGGGCGAAATCTCACGAGATCCTAGGATCACGGGGTTGCCCGGGGAGTCCAGGAGGGGTTTGTTTTCATAGGCTGGGCGGGGACTTGGAGGTGGGGAGCGGTGGTGCCTGTTGCCTACGCCCACCTGACTCTGCCAGGTGCCAGAATTGGGGGGGCATGAGAGTGGGGGTCGGGGACAGGGAGGATAAGGGTGGGGTTAGATGAGGGTATGGAGGGTGGGATGGGGTAAAGGAGGTGGGGAATGGGGGGGGGTCTGTAACTCCCCACCCTCTAACCCCTCCCCCGGGCCTATGCTTATGGATCTATTTCTCTCTGTGGGGTATGGGGTGCTGGACCCTGAGCGAGGCTCCTCGCCCAACACTAAAAAAGACGTCCTTGCCCTTGAACTGTCTAATGCTCTGTGCTACCTGGACTTTACCATTTAAGTACCCTCTGGGGGAGAGGAGACCCCTGTCAGGATTTGATTAGATTGTCCTCTTTCCAGAGCGTGCTTTCTTCACTTGCCTCCTTGGATTTGGTTTTACAGAGCTTTTTCAGAAGCCAGACTCCTGCGATTGCTCTACTCCCCTCCCCCAATCCTCAGATAACTTCAGCTTTCACCTGTCCTAAAGGCAGGGCTTCCCCTCTTTCACCAACAAATACCTTTTGACAAAGTCAGGACTAGACCGAAAGCTGAACATATGAGTGGGCCGTCGTGAGGAGGGACCAGGTCCAGGATGTTGAGGAGAGATGGAAAGCCCCCCCCCCCCCGGCCCCCTCCTCCTGAGGCCTGGTGTTTTGGTTCTCTCAGAGGGGTGCCCTCACCCTTGAGATTTTGTGTCCCCGGTCAGCAGGGGGCAACACTGGGGAAACTGGAAGGCGGAATGTTTGCAAGGCGTTTGTCAGGTTTGGGCACCTGCTTCCTGCCAGTATGTTTGTAGGAAGAAAAGTAAGGCCTCTGGAGAGATGGCAAGTCCCAGATGGATGAGGAGTCTTTCTTGGTGAAGAGAAGAGAGAGGGGTTAAAAACAACGCGGAGGTCGACTGTACTTCAATTAAAAAAAAAAAAAAAAAGTGCAAGGAGGCGGCCCCATGCCTCTTTCAACCTGGCCTGAGGATCGATATTCTGTCTCCTCAGACTCTGAGACTGTGTTTTTCTGGAGGGGGAGGTGGGTACTGAGTCTGGCACTGTGTCCTTGCCATGCAAGTGGTCCTAAATCTGATACCATGGGCCACAGGAATGTCGTGGTGGCTGAGAGCAACAGGGCAGTAAAGGCTGCGTAATTTTCCTAGATCTACCCTGCCATTCCCCCAGATATCCCCATGCCTGGGAGCTATGTAAGCTACACAGACAAATTAATGTATGAATACATATGTACATACAAATGAGGCCACTGCCTTGAACCCCAGTCGATCTATGATCTTCACCTAGAACAGAGCTGACTAAAAAACTCAATTTTTTCAGCTTGAATCTGGAGACACTCAGCTTCTCCTTCCCTCTGATCTTCTGGATTCATTCAACAAACATTTGTCCTTGAGTGGTGCCGATGCAAGCCTCAAGCAGATATACTCAGTCTCTGGCTCATAAGGTTTGGAGCAAAAACTAAAAATAATAAACAAAAGCCCCAAACAAGAAGTTATTGTTTTCAAGTGGCAAGTTGTAACTAACTCTTTGAAGAAAACAAAGAGGCTAATATGGAAAGTTACAAAGGCTGGCAAGGCTCCTCCTGGTTGCTCAGGATCCTTGTCTGAGGCCTGAGCAGGAAGCAACCTTAGGAGCTTAAGAGGATCCTGGACATAGGGTTCTGAGCATAGAGAAGGACTGTGCAAATCCTGATAAAGTGTTTGGCCAACTTGAGAATAGAGACTGGCTCAGAGGGGTAGGTGATGACAACAGCAGAGGGGGGGCATGAAAATGTGATCCCTTTGAAGATTGCCCATGCTTATTTTCATAATCTGATTGCTGTCTTCAGACTGACTGCAATTGGTACACTAAAAGGATGATGTCTGTAAAACTTGAAAGCAAAATGCAGGTCACACGATTGATTATATAATGCAATTCTATTCATATGAAATTAAACATGAATATACCATTCATTCATTCATTCATTCATTGCCTCAACTAACCCTTACAAATGTTTACTGTATTCCGGGGA